TTCCCATTGATTTTTAGGGAGTGGAAGGGAGGGGGGGAGAGAGAGAGAGAAACATCGATGTAAGAGAGGCACATTGATTGGTTGCCTCCTGCACGTGCCCCAACCTGAGCCTGGGATTGAACCTGCGACCCAGGTACGTGCCCTTGACCCCTGGACTCGAACCCGAGACCCTTCGATGGGTGGGATGCTGATCTAACCACTGGGAACACTGGCCAAGGCTAAATTCCATTTTTAATTGAAGTCGTGAGTCTGACTTCCCAGCCGGCAGGCGCTCTGGGCAGAGCTTCTTGACCTGGTCCAGCGGGCCAGGACCATCCGGGACAGAACCCACAGGCCAGCCCCACCCGGCGCGGCAGATTCGGTCGATCGGGGATCCTGAAACGGAAACGCGGGACTGGGAGTCCTGCTGTGAGATCTGTTTAGAGGCAAAAAGCCTTGTCTTCCACACTCTCCCTCCTCCTCAGACTACCTCCTAAAAAATAAATACACTGAGTAAATAAAGACAGCTTTCAAGACGTTCACGGAATGACTTTTCTTTACATTTTTCAACTAGTTAAGACAAAAACATTACAATGATTGGCTTCTTTCATTTAGTTACATAAATAAAATTTTTATAAATATCTCTTTATAAACAATATAAATAGCTTTACAACATAAATACATTTATGCATGACATGAATTTACAGACAGCAATGTTTACAGCTGGTTTTGTCGGTCTCTTAAAAACTGTCCCTTGTCATCACGTCGGTGTAGGTGTGTTTCATGTATATCATATATATATATAATATATAACTTTTTATTTTTCATTTTCAAAAACAAACAAACGATAAAACCATACCCCCCCCTTCCCAAATAATAATAAAACAGCTGGTGTTGTGGATTCCCAGTACCACAAGGGGAAAAAAAAACGAAAGAAAGAAATGTAAAAGCTACATTGCCTTGGAGGTGCTTCCAGATGACCAAGGATGACCTCAGCACAACGGAGCAAGTTCCCGAACCTGAAACACAGAGGGGACAGGCGACACTCAGTGCTGGCCCCTTAGCTGAGATAGCCCAGGCTGCCGGACAGATTCCTCCCCTTTCCCGAAGCAGCAGGAAGCAGTGTCCCTCCACCTGTGCCCCGGGTAGAAGGAGGGGGCCCTTTCCAAGCCCTCATCTGGCCTGCTGCTGGGACCTTGGCTCTTCCTGCCCAGCACAGGTGGAACCAGGATGGCCAGCCCTCCTGCCCTGGGGCTAACTGCAGCCCTGCTCTGGGCCACAGGGAGACACAGTGACAGGGGAGAGTGCAAAACACTCCTCTTTTCCTTTCTTGCTACAATACAAACCCTCGGTCAGGTGCCGGCCTGGGCTTTCCGTGTCTGGATGACAGTGGACGGAGAAGAAACATCTGAGGAGTCGGGAATTCTGGGCTCAAACCCCAGCTCTGCTATTTATTTCCTGAATGGCCCTGGAGAGTTTGAGTATCGCTTTCCTGACCCATAAAATGGGATAATTGCCACCTCCCAGGGCTGGCTTTAGGATTCAACCAGGGGCCACGCAGAGCAGAGCGTCTGGGTCACAGCTGCCACTCAGTCCACAGCACCTCCTTCCCAGCGGCTTCGCCTCGAAAGGGTGTCCTTCAGAAGCAGGGGACTGGCGTCTCGGGGCCCTGAGGAATGAGTGGCCACGCTGGGTTTGCTGGGGTTCGGGTGGTCAGAGTCACCTGATGAGGGCTGGACCGTCTATGCTAATGGGTGTGTGGGTGCTCCGGGACCGGGGGAAGGCAACTCCTGAGATGATGCGGTGCCCCCCATAGAGGAGTCCCTGCAGAGACACCCCCAGCCTCAATGGCCTCATGCACTCTCCCACAGCTCCCCTCTCTGGCTGTCTCTTGTGTTTAAACAGATGACAGATGATGTCCCTGGGGCCTGTGGGCAAGGTGTTCATTCAGGCATCGGCCACACCCTGTCTCTGTCATTAGCATTTTATAATCAAGATCATAACCATCAGCGACAGTCATTATGGTGGTTGCTTAGAGCTAAGGTCACGGGGGTGGGGGGATGGGGTTCAGAAGGTTAGTGTGTTGGAGGTGGGTGTTCAGCTAAAAGAGAATTTCCAGGGAAAGAGAAATTTCCCTGGACAAAGGGGTTGAGAGTCTGAATAAAATCTTTGCTGGTTAAATGATAGAGCCCTCTTTAGCTCAGAAAAAGAAAGGACACTTGCTTTCCCAACCCGAGTAGCCAACGGGGTGACAATAGTTGCAGATCCCAGAATCCCGAGTGGTGGAGGTGGGCTCTGTGAGGTGCCCCGTGTGATAATGCAACCGATCCGAGAGGCCAGCGGGAGCCCTGGGAGAGGTCTCTGTGAAGGGGAGGGCACCCGGAGAGAGGGCCCCTGCCCTGGAAAGCGTGGTGGCTCTGGTGGCACCCCGTAAGCTCTCACTGCCCCTTGCTCAGGTATTTTTAGCTGACTAGGAATCTTTGAGGGGTTGCCACAGGAAACGTTCCTCTGGGGCATGAAGCAGGCCTAGAGGGACTCCCACCGTATTTGGCTCATCCAGACACGTGCACCTAAAGGCTGGTTTTCCCGAGAAGCTTGTTCAGACTTTACAGGTCTCAAAATTAACAAGGGAAATGGTGTCTCTGAGGCCGACAAGTCCCAGGACAGTCAGCCCCCCATTGATGCTCCTGCAGGAAGATGCCTGAAATGAGGATCCTTCTGATACTTCTAAATTAATATTTTGTGTGCACAATTAGAAAAAGCTGACTGTAAAATTAGGGGGAATGAACGGAAGCATATTTTAATTGGTGTCTCAAAGCTTAAAAAAATGCATCAACCTGTGATGTTGTTTAGGTGGCAACCCAATTCTTTGAGGTATTAAAAAATAGCTGTCCTTGTTTTTAAAGGGGGAAGTTCATTTGGAACTTGATTTGTCAAGGACAGACACAAATTGGCTTCTTATCCCAGCTGCCAAAACAAAATTTGGATCCACTGTGTTGTTTTTTTAAACTAGTGAGTTTTTCTCACGGCTAAAAGGTCTCTGTTTGCATCTCTCTGTGTGTTCACACATGTATGCTGCAAATGTGAGATAATTTTCTACCTCTGGATAGTATTGATAAAATCAATTTAATAAATTAAAATTATTGATTTGAAGGCAAGCACTTATAAGGACTGGGTATTCTAAAATTCTTAGAAATATAGAAACTAACCCCAATTTTTTTCAAAGTTCATGTGATCGAAGATTAACCTTTAGTAAAGTTAGTTTAAGTTTGTTGGTTTGATCCATGTTAATAATTGACTTTGATATTTATGAAATATATTTCTAGAAGTTATAAAACGTCTTCATAAATCACTTCTTAGTTTCCATTAGAAATTGAGAGTCTTAAGGTTTAAAATATCAATATATATATGTAATTAAAACTACTAGAGGTAACTTTGCAGTATTCCAGAAGGGCCCAGGACACCTCAAAAAATTTGTTTTTATGTTATGTTGCATGGGGGGAGGGGGCTATGTAAAGTAAGTGATAGAAAACTTTTATAGTATATTGTGTGGGTAAAAAATGGCTGTAAATTAAACTTATAGTTGGGGCTGTGGGAAACCCCAAACGGCCGCTTGGTTCTCCCAGGCTCCCTGGCAAACCTCATTTTCTGGTTTTTGCATTCCTTTGTGCATCACAGTGCATTTAAACGGCACTTAAATGAGATGACAGAACTTAGGATCTGACATTATTGAAAGGAGACTGTAAAATTAGGGGACACTATTGCCAAGTTTTGATAAAGTTCTTCAAGAAAATGCCAAATTGGTGACCACTTTCTTTCACAGCAAGCTCCCAGGAGACAAAGACTTAAGATGCTGTTTTTTTTTTAAGAAAGGGCATCAAATAAAGGGACACTCTCCAACCTCAATGGGAGGGATCTTATCAGACACCTAACCATGAATGAACACCTACCCTTGTCTCTGCCTACAAGAGACATCAAAGATTTCTTTAGGATGAGAAGCTGTTGATCCCAAGACATCAACAAGGCCTGTGCACCTACAGATTGATGCTGAACTCACAAACCATTTTCTTTGATTGCCTTTACCTGTCTGCTAAGGATATTAGTCATAATAATAGTTACTTACTCTTGGGCTTTTCTATATAGTCCAACTGTTTGTTTATGATTGCTAAACATGTATAACTGTTCATTCTCTTTATGGCTTATGTAAATGTCATAGTAGATGCAAAATACAGAAAAATGAGACAGACAGCAAAACTCGGATCATGACAGTTCACAGGATAGAAATGATCCAGAGTGTTTTTCATGATGAGGCCATACGACGACCTGACTGCCTTTCCATTTACCTGCCCTTCCCTTTCTGGGAAAATTTGGCATCAACCCACTGCCCCATCCCCAATGGTCAACCAGAGGGTGATACTGAGACTTCCTAGGAATGAGACTTCCTAGTGCTGTGAGACCACACTATCCAAGCAAAGTGTTGGTCATCAGTGCATTCTTTGGATTGATTTATGACCAAAGGGGAGTTGTGAATGAAAAAGGGGCTCTGTGGAAAGCAACCTCACAGGATGATCTGATCATAAATCCCTAACTGGGCAGGTCATGTTGGGTAGTCCTGCCCCAGGCCTATAACTTCCTCAGTAAACAGTTATCTTTGCGTTAAGCAAGCCCTAAGCCCTGCCCATTGTTTCTGTGCATCTAGGTTAACACATGTTTGAAATGACTCTTTTCCAGACCTCTCAGGAGTGTAACAACCCTCAGGAGATCGTGTAATCTTGTTACCTGTCCTGTAATCCAATCCCTGCCTGGCTTTATCCCACCTGGGTGTATAATCTTCCTTACAGTCACTCCTTAATTCCAAATGCATAAAATAAACAGCAAAACTGTTATTCTTCGGAGCAAGATTTGAGATCTTGCTTCTCGGCAATGTTATCAGTTTGGCTCAAATAAACTCATAAAAAATTCTCAACAGATTTAGACATTTGTTACGTGGACAGTGGTAAAAAAGGTGTAGGCAATGTGCTGGGGAGTTTCAAAGGGGTGCTCTCGTTACCCTCTGGGGGAACAGAGTGTGGACACTGAGAAGGCTTCTTAGATGGGAGAGCAGTTTGGTCTGGAGTGGAACAGATGGGCTGTGGGACCAGGAATGGCAGCAGCCAGGCTGCAGGAAAAGGCTGGAAACCAGTGGGGGTCAGATTCTAAAGCACCTGAGTATCAGTTTCAAAGGTTGGGATGTGGTTTTTCCTTGGGCACTGATGGGCAGCAGGAATGCAAAGGAGGTAAGGAGGGGAGGGGAGGACCTTTGCCACACGCAGCACATTTCCAGGCTGTGGCACCTGGCGGGGGCGGAAGGCAGCACAGGGGTTTCTAGCCCTGGTGGGGAGTAAGGCGGCCATGCCAGAAACTGGGAGCCCAGGCATGACAGGCATGGGATGGCTGATGAGGAGCTCAGTTTGAGACATCTTGGGTTTGAGAAATATAATATTTATTTTAGTCTCTTTTCCCTTGCCCGGAAATAGTGCCACAGACACTGAGGTTCATCCTGAAGTCAGGGGCTGCAGCAGCATCAGGACCCTGGACAGACCAGTTTGCCCACAGCCGCTGTTAGAGAAGGGACAAGAATCAGAATGCTCTGCGGGCAGAAAGGCTCTCCGGGGATGCCAACAGGGGGCTGCTCTCCCTCCAGTGAGGGGAAGGGATTTCTCCAGGTCTGCCCCACTGTAGGGACACCTGGCCTAGGAAGCATCCGGCCTCTGGGCCGCCTACCGCCTGCACCGCGATACAGTGTTTGGCAGGTAAGCTTACCCTGGGCTGTGTGTATGCCCTTCCTCCTCTGTTCCCACAATCCCAAGATCTCCCCTCAATGCTCCCACTTGGCAAAGTGGGGCCACTGCTGCTGGTCCGCTTATGGTCCAGGGATGGGCAGGAGCCCTGCCAACGGTCTCTGCTACTCCAGAGGAAGTCAGGTGGGTTCATCCATCCTGAGCCATTTCTGACCTTTCCAAAGTTCCCTCACCACTTCATCCCTCACTTTACCCATCTGTAAAATGGGATGATAAATAGAATTGGGGGCAAATGCCTAGCGCACACACGTGATCTCTTGCCCGGATAGCCAGGTTCCCCTCCAAAGGCACCGGGAGGCGGGAGGGTCCCAGGGCTCGGGCATCAGAGAAAAGGGCCTGCGGGCGGGGTTCCGGCTAGGTTCCGCGGGCGCCGCGGGGCAGCTAGGTGTGCGGGGCGCCAGGCGGCCGGGCCGGTGGTACTCACCGCCGCCAGGGGTCGCCGCACTAACATCCCAGGCCGCTGGTGGAGCCGATCCGGTCCAGCTTGAGGCCGAAGCAGCCCTTGGACGTGCCCTTCTTGCTGCCTTTGTGTTTGCGAGCGTTGGGGTTCTCCTGCAGGAGGCGGACCCATCGAGACTTGGTGTCCACGCGCAGGTCCCGGAGCAGTCGCGCCTGGTCGCCCCTGAGGTTGGAGCCACCGCCTCCGGGAATCTTGTCGCGCTTCTTCTGACCGACGCCCTCAGCATGGGACGCGGCTGACACCTCCCCTAGCGGAGCTCGCGGGACCTGTGCGGGGAAAACAGCGGGCAGGTGAAGGGACGCACGTCGGCAGCGCGGAGCACCTTGCGGGGCGCTCCTGAGCGCGCCCCTAGAGATGCCGGACCCCTCGGCCCCGCATCCACCTGCCACGCGGACGCCGGCGTCCGCTCCTTCGGGGAGCCCCTTACCCTCCCTTCCTTAGCCGCCTGCACTGCGGTAGGGGCTGCGCATCTGTCGACGGTCTCCCGAGGCTGGGGACGTAGACCCCTGAATGCGAGCGTCCAGGGACCCCCGGCTCTTACCCGAGCGCATCTCAGGGGAGAGGGCCGCCTTACCGCCCTCGCTGCTGCCTCCGGGGGGCCGCATCCTCCTAGACCCCCCGCCCTCCCGCACGGCCCCTCGCAGTCCGGACATCCCCGCGACAGCACCCACCTTCGGCTGCGCCCCGGGCTTGGCTTCAGAGGGCCAGAGCGAGAGGAGGGTGAGCAGCAGGGCGCAGGCCAGCAGCTGGGAGAGGTGCATGGTGCCNAGCCCTGGTGGGGAGTAAGGCGGCCATGCCAGAAACTGGGAGCCCAGGCATGACAGGCATGGGATGGCTGATGAGGAGCTCAGTTTGAGACATCTTGGGTTTGAGAAATATAATATTTATTTTAGTCTCTTTTCCCTTGCCCGGAAATAGTGCCACAGACACTGAGGTTCATCCTGAAGTCAGGGGCTGCAGCAGCATCAGGACCCTGGACAGACCAGTTTGCCCACAGCCGCTGTTAGAGAAGGGACAAGAATCAGAATGCTCTGCGGGCAGAAAGGCTCTCCGGGGATGCCAACAGGGGGCTGCTCTCCCTCCAGTGAGGGGAAGGGATTTCTCCAGGTCTGCCCCACTGTAGGGACACCTGGCCTAGGAAGCATCCGGCCTCTGGGCCGCCTACCGCCTGCACCGCGATACAGTGTTTGGCAGGTAAGCTTACCCTGGGCTGTGTGTATGCCCTTCCTCCTCTGTTCCCACAATCCCAAGATCTCCCCTCAATGCTCCCACTTGGCAAAGTGGGGCCACTGCTGCTGGTCCGCTTATGGTCCAGGGATGGGCAGGAGCCCTGCCAACGGTCTCTGCTACTCCAGAGGAAGTCAGGTGGGTTCATCCATCCTGAGCCATTTCTGACCTTTCCAAAGTTCCCTCACCACTTCATCCCTCACTTTACCCATCTGTAAAATGGGATGATAAATAGAATTGGGGGCAAATGCCTAGCGCACACACGTGATCTCTTGCCCGGATAGCCAGGTTCCCCTCCAAAGGCACCGGGAGGCGGGAGGGTCCCAGGGCTCGGGCATCAGAGAAAAGGGCCTGCGGGCGGGGTTCCGGCTAGGTTCCGCGGGCGCCGCGGGGCAGCTAGGTGTGCGGGGCGCCAGGCGGCCGGGCCGGTGGTACTCACCGCCGCCAGGGGTCGCCGCACTAACATCCCAGGCCGCTGGTGGAGCCGATCCGGTCCAGCTTGAGGCCGAAGCAGCCCTTGGACGTGCCCTTCTTGCTGCCTTTGTGTTTGCGAGCGTTGGGGTTCTCCTGCAGGAGGCGGACCCATCGAGACTTGGTGTCCACGCGCAGGTCCCGGAGCAGTCGCGCCTGGTCGCCCCTGAGGTTGGAGCCACCGCCTCCGGGAATCTTGTCGCGCTTCTTCTGACCGACGCCCTCAGCATGGGACGCGGCTGACACCTCCCCTAGCGGAGCTCGCGGGACCTGTGCGGGGAAAACAGCGGGCAGGTGAAGGGACGCACGTCGGCAGCGCGGAGCACCTTGCGGGGCGCTCCTGAGCGCGCCCCTAGAGATGCCGGACCCCTCGGCCCCGCATCCACCTGCCACGCGGACGCCGGCGTCCGCTCCTTCGGGGAGCCCCTTACCCTCCCTTCCTTAGCCGCCTGCACTGCGGTAGGGGCTGCGCATCTGTCGACGGTCTCCCGAGGCTGGGGACGTAGACCCCTGAATGCGAGCGTCCAGGGACCCCCGGCTCTTACCCGAGCGCATCTCAGGGGAGAGGGCCGCCTTACCGCCCTCGCTGCTGCCTCCGGGGGGCCGCATCCTCCTAGACCCCCCGCCCTCCCGCACGGCCCCTCGCAGTCCGGACATCCCCGCGACAGCACCCACCTTCGGCTGCGCCCCGGGCTTGGCTTCAGAGGGCCAGAGCGAGAGGAGGGTGAGCAGCAGGGCGCAGGCCAGCAGCTGGGAGAGGTGCATGGTGCCCTTGGGGTGGAGGGCACACGCGGGCGGCAGCGAGGACAGATGCTCAGACGGACGCGGAGCGGGCTGGCTGGGCTGCTGCGCGGACGCGGGTCCCAGAGCTGCGCGGCGCCGGCTGGGTGCGCTCTGAGTCCGCCGCTCGGCTCGCGCCTTTATAATCCAACCTGCGGCTGATGTCATCCCCCCGCCCACCCGGCCGCCGGGGCCAATGGCACGCGCGCCGAGGTCTGGGAGGGGGCCGGGGGGCTCCCCCTCTGCTCCCCCCTCCTCGTGCCCCCCCTCCCCCCGGAGAGGTCCCGCGGCTCGGCGGGCTCTCTTCCGATTGCACTCGGAGCTGCAGAGCGGCGCGCGCAAGGAAACTCCATTTGCAGCAAGAGCGCGCCCTGGCGTGCCAAGAGGGGGTGCTGCGGGGGCCCTGCACACACGCTGGGACCTCAGCACACTCCCTCTCCCTGGAAGGAATCGCTTTCCCCCTTTGCAGGTGCATAGACAGGCTCAGAAGAATTGTCACTTGCCCGAAGTCACTTAATGAAAGTTGGCACAGCCCGAAATCGACGCAGATCTGCCTTGTTGCCAAACGCTTCCCCAGGCGCCGGCAGGTTGAGGCCTGGCGCTGCCGCTCCACCTTTTACCTGCTCGCCGGGAGTTCCGATCTCACCGACGCCTTGGGAACCGCGAGGCAGAGAACGGGGTCCAAGGTCTAGGAGCAGGGATGTGGGGTTTGCCGGGGGCCGCAGGGGGCCACAGGGGGGAGCGCAAGTCCTACAAAGGAGCGAGCGAGCTTTTCGCCCGCGGTGCGTTTGAGAGCGCAGACCCGACGGGGTGGGCTACCAGGGCGGCCCGAGGTGCGGGCGCGCCTGCGT